CCTCTGGCGTCCCAAGCCAGCTCTTAACCAACGCGCCACTCAGCCGGTCCTGGTTGGGAGTTTTGACAGTGATGAGGAGTTGTATGAATTTTATGATGACTAAAACTTGAGTTCAATAACTTTATGTAATACATTTTTTTTCAAATTTCGGGCCCCAAAATTAAGGTGTGTCTTATACATGGGAACGTCTTATACATGGGGAAATACGGTAATTGCGGGGAAGGGACGTGAGGAAATGGTGGTGGTGAGGGGAAAAAAAATAATCAAGGGTAACTTCTTGTTTTTGGCTTGAGGAGCAAGGTGGATGTTGACAAGGTGGCTATTGACCGAGATGGCAAAGACAGAGAGGGAAGGTTTTGAAGGGTTGGTAATCAAGAGTTATCTAAGTGAGAAGGTTTGGTAAGCAGTTATGTCTGTGGGTCTGGAACTCAGGAGATGTTGGGGCTGGGAAAGTGGCGCTCCTGACTCCTGTAGTGTGAAAAGCAGACACCTTCACAAAGGTGGCGTTTGTGTGGTAGATAAGCCTGATATTTGAAGGTAATGTATATGGGGAAGAGTAATTGAGATAAAATCCTGTGTGTCTCTCATTCTCTTAAGATCCCCAGCCAAAAAGAAAAAGTCCTCAGGGAGAAGAAGCAAGTCTCCTCGGAGTAACAGGAGCCGAAGTCCTCACTACTCAACAGTCAAGGTGAAGCAGGTAAGTGGATTGAGATATTTTGATACGGGGTCCAAATCTAGAGCCTCTTTCCATCATAGTGAGAGGGTTGTGCGTATGTTCACCTGTACCTGCAGTGGGCTTTTCTCAAAACTAGGTGGGGTTTTTTTCTGCTTGTTTTGTTAAATGAAACTTTATTTTGAGATAATTATTAATTCACAAACAGCTGTAAAGGTAATACAGACGCATACTCTGTATCCTGTTTCTCCCAATGGGAACATCTTACAGAATTAGATAGAGTACAATATCACAACCAGAATAGTGACATCAACACAGTCAAGACATAAAACATTCCCATCAGCACAACAAAGATTTTTCATGTTGTTCTGTTACAGTCACACCCACTTCCCTCCCACTTGTATCCTTCAGCTCCTGGCAACTTCTCTTCTGTTGTCCATTTCTATAATTTTGTCACTTCAGACCTTACATGTTTCTTATGTTTATTCCTAGGTATTGAATAATTTTTGTTATTGTTGAAATGAGATATTTTGAAATTACTATTACATTTTCATTTTTGGCAGAAGAGGAAGCTAGCTTTTTTTTCTTTACATATTTATCTTATACATGACTGCTTAACTCTCCGTTAGTTCTGTCCTCTGTATATGTTCCCCTATAAATTTTCCTGCCAGGTGCTCTTGTTCCTAAGGCTCCGAACGTGGGCTTGCAGTGTTAGAGCTATAGCTGGGCATCAGCATGGGGTACACAGGGTGACCACGCACAGGTACATCGCCACCACTGATAACCTTATTTTTGTGCGACATTTTGCTCTTGCATGCCGAAGTCCAAATTACAAATTTCCTGTTGAATGCAGCTTGTTTATAGATTGTGGACTGCCTTTGATTTCCTGAATTGGTTTGAATTTCAGGAACGGGAGGATCATCCTCCCCGGAGAGGACGGGAGGATCGGCAGCACCGGGAAGCATCGGGACAGGAACACAGGCGAGCCAGGAACAGTGACCGAGACAGGCACAGGGGCCATTCCCACCAGAGGAGAACCTCTAATGAGAGGCCTGGGAGTGGGCAGGCTCAGGGGCGGGATCGAGACCTTCAGAACCTGCAGGCTCAGGAAACAGAGCGGGAGTTTTATAATACCCGACGGCGGGAGCATCGCCAGAAGAATGAAGTTAGTGCCAGCAGTAATGAGTCTCAGGAGCTGGTTCCTCGACCTGGCGGCAACAACAAAGACAACGAGGTGCCCGCTAAGGAAAAGCCAAGCTTCGAACTTTCTGGGGCCCTTCTTGAGGACACCAACACCTTCCGGGGTGTAGTCATTAAATATAGCGAGCCCCCAGAAGCACGGATCCCCAAAAAGCGGTGGCGTCTCTACCCCTTTAAAAATGACGAGGTGCTTCCAGTCATGTACATCCATCGACAGAGCGCTTACCTGCTGGGGCGACACCGCCGCATCGCAGACATTCCAATCGATCACCCCTCTTGTTCAAAGCAGCACGCAGTCTTTCAATATCGGTGAGTATACATTTGCAGAAAGAAACAAGGGTGAGCAGAAGCCAATGCCTCAAGTAGTTAGCGGTACGAAGTTTCCGGTACATGCATGTGCAGAAGAATCCATACTCCTCATAGCTGATACTAGTTTTAAGGAGTATTAGTGTAACTGCCCTTTGAATAATTACTTACATTTGTATAAGAGCATTGAACTTGGTGTCAGGAATCTAGATTTTGAATCCTGACACTGTCACTTGCCAAGTGTTTGACTTGTAGCAAGCCACACTCTGGGCCTCAGTTCCTATCTACCTCACGGGGCTATTATGAGGGTTAAATGGAACTATAATTGAGAATGCCTGGCATATGTGTTGGCCACATCTGTTTCTTGACAGTGTGCATAGTACATCTGTTACTGTTTGATGCTTACAACAATCCTGTGAGGAAGACAGGACAGGTATTAATATCCCCATTTGACAGGTGAGAAGACAAGCTCAATAAAGCCAAGTGACTTGCCTAATAAATGATCACATTAGTAGAACTCTGGTTCAGCTCTAGCTCCCTTAACTCTTAACGTCCAAATCTGCTTTATTCCCATTAAGATAGGAGATAAAATATGTTGAAATATAGGCAAAAGCAGCATTATTATTGATGATAAACAACACAAAAAATGTATTTTCTGAACTATGGCAAGAGGCCTTGGCGTCTGCATTTTAAGCTTTTGATACACCACTAATTTCCGCCTTCTAGCAACCAGTTCGCATCTTTTCTACTAAGTGCTATTTAACTTGCCTCCAATTTCTAGGTCCAAGGCCATGCGTTCCCCTTGATTTCTAGAGTTTGAATTTGAACTGTGTTGAAGCCAGGTTATGTAATATCATCTAGGCTGCATGAGCAACAAGCTGATGATCTGAGGCAGGATTTTGCTCACAGGTGTCTCACTATTATCTCTTCTAGGCTTGTAGAATACACCCGTGCTGATGGGACAGTTGGCCGCAGAGTGAGGCCCTACATCATTGACCTTGGCTCAGGTAATGGAACATTCTTGAACAACAAGCGCATTGAGCCGCAGAGATACTACGAACTGAAGGAAAAAGATGTACTTAAATTCGGGTTCAGCAGCAGAGAGTATGTTCTGCTTCATGAGTCCTCGGACACCTCTGAGGTAGACAGGAAAGAAGACGAGGACGAGGAGGAGGAGGAGGAAGTGTCCGACAGCTAGCAAACTCAGAGGAGCCCAGACTCTGGAGAGACTGATCCTTTCCTCGAAGGCTTTGGGACTGAAACAAAGAGCACCGCGGGGGTCTCTGGAATGCCTTTTATTGCCTTAAGTCTTTCCTTGGTTGCTGACCAGCTTACGTTAGTGTAAGAAAACCAACTTAGGTTTGGTTGAACTTATTTCTGCGGCACATCAGCCACATGCCTTGGACATATTTTTCAGAACAGTCTCACCAACACATTGTGTTTCATAGAAGCGTTGTGGCTTTAGTTGGTGCTTCCAGAACTGCTGCCTAGGAAATTATAAGCCCTTGGTTAAAGGGGAATTGTGGCTTGTTCTCTTTGTACAGCTTCTTTATTTATAAGCTTTGTGGACTGGGTTTTGTTTTTGTTTCCGGGGCAAACCCCCTTAACAGAATCTTGCTAAGCTTTGGTTATCACCAGAACAGCCTCCAGTATATACCAAAGCTTTGACCTGGTTGAGCTCTTGAGTTACAGAAGTTGATTTTGCACTTCTGTTTTGGGAGGTGGGAATTGACCACATGACCTCATTATTGCCTGTTGGACTTAAACAGATGCTTTCTGGAGGCTGCGTAAGCATATGACTGTACAGGAAGATCATGACTACTGCCAGTGGGTGCGGATTTCATGTCCCAAGAGGCTGAAATGTGTCGAGGATGTGTTTTCTGTGAAGGATTTCTGATTTCTCCATGGAGCATGTACATAACAATTTTGATCATCTTCTCTGTTGTCAACTTGGCATTTTTAGTCAAATGTTATCTCTTCTTTTTTTTTTTTGAGAAACACACTGTCATTTGTGTGGCAGGGTCCTAGCTTTATTCTAACATCATGTGTATATGTCTAAAGGAGATTGTGTAGTTTATAGTTTACATGTTTCATCTTTTTAAAAAAACATTCAGAGAGGTTGTATTTACCTTTACAAGGCTGGAAAACATGGAAATTGTCCAATTTTCTAATTTTCCACTAGAGGAATATACGTAAGTAGAAAAGTCATATCTACTTACATATATTGTATCTCTGTGTGTATATATATATATATATATATATATATATATAAAATTGTGTGAAAGAGCTGTATACCGATTTTCATAATGAGAATGTTTTGTGATGTAAATGTAATACTACATTATAGGCAAAGGCCTCCCTGCACTTGAAGAGGAGGTTTTCATTTATATGTATTTTTGGGATAAAAAAATAATAAAATTTGTAAATAGAGCCCCATATCTCAGCAAGTGAGCATTGGTCCTGTTGAAGCAGCAGCGTTTTCTGAATGGGCAGTGCAGGAGTTTCCTTTTCCAGAATAGTCAGAGTTGGGGCAGGTTATACACAGTGGGCTTCAAGCCAGTTTATCCCTGTCCTGGCTATTTCCCCGTCGGCGGGCGTGGAATGCAACTCCCAGTCAGTACTGCTGCTCATTATTCCTCTTGGGTTGAAATTGATCATGTTAGATTGTCCTCTTCACAATTGTTTTTCCATTGAGGTCTCATGGACCCATGTGTACTCAGGACTAAATGGTGACCAGTGTGGGGAGGGGTAGCTGGCTGTTAAGAGAAATGGAAAGATCCTCTTTGAAGAGTGAACTCAGTACGGGCAGTTAGATGCAAGGTTAGAGAAGCTACGACAATGTAAGAGCAATTAGCATCCCCCCAGGGTTCCACATGGGCCACTATAATATTTTCCTAATTTAATTGTGCCATAGATCATGTTACACCTGTGCATGTCTAAAAGGTGGGTTTTGTTTTGATGAATTTTTCTCTTGATCCAAGACTGATGGTTTTCTCTTTCAGGGATTAGGCACTAATCAGGCATCTCGCTCCAGGGCCCCCTTGTTCAGTCTGTGCCACTCCTGTTGCTTCGCGGAGGCCTTGGGCTTTGCCTCGCACTCCAGCCTGCTGGGCACTGGGATAGAGGACCACTTCGCCTACATTTTTCCATAACAGGTCCCAGTTATGTAGTAAACTGTTGCTTCCTGGATTAAGAGATTCTTCATGCCCAATATCTGGGAAGGTGTCCCCCCCCCCCACAAGACACTACCCATCTCCAAAGCCAGATATCACCAACAAACTTCTCATTTGAAGCTGACATAATTCTAAAGCTTTCTTCTTGAATGAATTCATTGCTTAGAAACTCATGTTCATCTAAGCTATTTGCAACTTATTTATTCCCCACCTTTTCTTCACCCTGGCTGGCTTGTCTACAAATTATCATTATCAAAATCAAGCTATCTGCAAAATAGCCCTTTGCTTCTGAGCCCCTCCCCCAAATCTCTGTAGCTCTGGTTACAGTGCTGCCAAGGTATGGGACAATGTTCAGATTTTCCCCATTAAACCTCTTTCTGGTCATCTAGTTCCCTCATTCTAACATTGGCAAAGGACAGCTCATTAAGTGCAGATGGTGATATAACTTTCAAATACTTTTGTTGTATTCTGGTGATAAGTGAAAGAATAATCAGATAACTGAAATTAAAAACAATTTTTTTGCATTATTGTATTGAGTATGTCTATACAATATAGCTTGGTTTTAAAAGGCTTAAAACTTATATATTTTCAGGTTTATTATTAGTTTATGTGGTGCCCAAATGGTGATATTTTTTAATATCAGTGGATGTGAGGAATGAAATGATATATTATCAAAGCCTGAGTGTCACACACCACACACCAGCGATGACTGCTTGTGAGATGACATTCTGAGGCCACAATGATCCTGGGTATGTGAATTGATATCAACTGAAAAGGCTACTTGATTTAAATTGAAGCTTTGGAATTGAAAGCTTCATTCAGTCTCTTGGGTGAAGTTTCCAGTATATTTATTAAATGGGAAACAATTTTAAGACAGTTGGTTTGTTCATATGTACTCTAAAGTTAAAGTGAATTAATTCACAATAGTTGCAGAAGCTTACTATGCTCGCATTTGGTTTATAGCTGTAAGCTAGAAGCAGGGAGAAATAATTTAAAGGTGGGCTACACCGTGTGCAAGAGATGGCATTAAAGGTATGCCTTAGAGACTAAGTGGATTTTGAGTCAGTAGTAGAGGAAGGCGTTTCAGACTGACAGCAGAGCTGGAGTGGAGGATGTGGAAAGGATCCTATAGAATTTACCTGAAGGCCCACGGCCAATTCATGGTAGAGCTAGGAGGAGAGCTCACCTCAGTCCCCGTTCCGGGGTCTTTCTTCTGGACTGTTGCTTCCCACCTCCCTAGCAGAGCTTAGTGAAGAGATCTGAGGAGGGAAAAGACAGCTGGTTCATTAGGCTGTCCATTCACAGGAGGTTCAAGGCGATCACAGGGGCTGGGCTTTTCAGGGCTAATGAGTGGCTCAGGCAAATCCTCACCTCACCAAGTCATAGCCAGAGCTACTTGGCAATCATGTTGATTCGTACAAGTAGACAAATATTCAATAATGGGGTATCTGAGAAGTGCCATGAACCGAGACCTCAATAATAAAACTGGCTAAAACTTAGGAGCACTTTCTATATACCAAGCACAATTTTAAGCATTTTTACATGTACACTTATGCACACCTTAACTCACTTCCTCATAATCCTATGAGGCAGACTTATCACTTCATTTTGCAGATGCAAAAACAGAGGCCCAGAGTGATTGAAGTCACACAGTGGTAGGTAGGACTGGAATGCAAACCCAGGATAAGGTCTGGCCCTCAGAGCAATATAACCAGGAGCTACAAACAGTGCTAGAAAGAAGAAGAGGTGGGGATTATGGGAGCAGAGAGAAACAGTATTCAACAAAGCCTTAGGAGCCAGTTACTCAGAAGAGGCCAGTGGGGATGAGGAGAGACAGGAATACAAATTTCTAGGCAGAGAGACTAGCACTCAGAAAGACCTGAAGTGATAAACTAATGAAACTTTGGAAGCATTTGAAGTTCAATAGGAAAAAGGGGGTGAGAGAGACTTCTGGTTTCTGAACCCTCCTGCTTGAAAATAACTAAAACTTCTGAATAAAATGTAAGCAAAACAATCTCTTAAAGCATTCAAGAACCTACAAATTAGTAAAAAAGTTGTCAGGCCCAAAGTGAAGATAACTAAGAATCCAGAGAGAAATGGAGCATAGATAACCTGGAAACCACATTTGGTCTAAGGACAAACCATATTAGATTCTAGCAAATCAGATCTTAGCTTGAATGGGACACAAATCAAAACCCAAAGCCCACATACAATAGTCTAATAGCAAATGATTCTCACAAAAAGCTGGCATACTAAAGGTCTATAATTTTCAGAATAAAAGAGGGGACCAGAAATTGAATCCCCCCAGGTACTTAACAGCCTGGGAGCTCAGCAAACCTCAAGCCTTGAACTGGGTTTAGGATGACCCTGTGCCTCCAGGTGTCTGAAATCAATGAAATTAATCTTTGGAGAAAGGGACTTTTTTTTTTTTAAAGATTTTATTGGGGAATTGGGGAAAGGGAACAGACAAGCTGCCATCCCTTTGTTCTTCATTCCAGTTGTGGAGGATGTCACTTCACTGGCCCACATTGGCATTATCATTGCGCTCTTCCTGGGTGAGGCAGATCAGTCGCGGGCCACAGCTCACAGCAGCTCACACCGGCTGCTCGCCACTCACGGTAGCTCACAGCAGCCCACGCCGATGCCGGCAACAGCCCAGCTCCAGGTTGAGCTGCTGTTCACCATCCTAGCCATAGAGAGTGCAGCGTCACTGGCCCTAATGTGGGATCTGAACTGGGGCCCTGCTGCTCAGAGCTGGCGTCCCAAGCCAACTCCTAACCAATGTGCCACTCAGCCGGCCCAGGAAGGGGCTTTTTATTTACCCTTCAGTTATTTCCACATTTCTCCCCAAAGATACAATTATTTTTTTAATGCACAAGGCAATATAGGTGAGAACCAACAGAAATAATAGATAACAAACTTTCTCAAAGAGCTTCAGATTCTTGAATTACAAGATAACTATAAAATGTTCCGGTGACTAGTTTCAAAGAATAAATGGCAAGCTTGAAAATACCCACAGGGAATAAGAAATGGGAACAAGTAAAATTGGGATTATTTAAAAGACCAACTGTAACTTTTAGAAATGAAAACTACAACTGTACAAAACCCCTCAATGGATGGCTTTAACAGAACCTCCAGGGAGAATTGATGAACTGGAAGATAGGTCAAAAGAAATTATCCATGTACATAAATTTAACAACTTAGATGAAGTGGACCAATTCTTCAAAACTATAAGCTGCCAAAATTCACCTGATAGGAAATAGATTATCTGAATAGTCCTACAGATATTAGAGAAGTTGAACTTGTAATTAAAAAGCTTCTGAAAAGAAATATCCACATCCAAATGGTGATGGTTTCACTGAAGAAGTCTACCAAACACTACAAGAAGAATTAGCACCATTCTATACTGTCTTGCCTAGAAATTAGAAAAGCAGAAAACACCTCCAAATTCATTTTATAAGGCCATTATTATTTTGATACCAAAGTCAGACAGGAAAGTACAGAAAAACCCCTACACACCAATACCCCGTGAACTTAGCCACAACAATGCTCAATAGAATGTTAGCAGATTGAATCTAGCAATATATAAAAAGAATTATACAACATGGCCAAGTGGGGCTTATTCCAGATATGCAAGGCTGGTTCAACACTTGAAAATGAATCTGTGTAATTCACTATAACAAGAGGATAGAGAAGAAAAATCACAATCATGTCAATTGGTACAGGAAAAGAATGACAAAATTCAATACCTATTCATGATAAAAACTGTCAGTAAACCAGGAATAGAGTGGAACTTCTCAACTTGATAAAGAACATCTATTATACAAAAACCTTACAGCTAACATCATACTTAATGGTGAAAGACAATACTTTCCTAAGACAGAGAAAAATTCAAGGATGTCTACTCTGACCACTCTCATTCAACATAGAACTGGAAGTCGCAGCCAGCACAGGAAGGCAGGAAAAAGAAATAAAAAGCACACAGGTTGGAAAAGAAAAAAATAAAACTGCCAATTTGACGATGAAATGATTGTCTATGTAAAAAATCCCAAGGAATCTACAAAAACATTTCCTAGAACTAATAAGGGAATTCAGCAAGATCCCAGGTTACAAGATCAACACAGGAAAGAAATCCAGAATGTAGCAGAGAGACAAAAAGATAGTGGGTAAAAAAAAAAAAAAAAAGGATTATTACGTTTAATCTAAGTTCCAGAAGGAGAGAGGAAATGAGGCAGAGGCATACCAGAACTGGTGAAAGATACCAAACCATAGATTGTAGAAACCCAAAGACTTCCAGGAAGGGAAGGGAAGGGAGGGTAGGGGATGGGTAAAGAAGGAAGAAGGAAGAAAGGAAGGAAGGAGAAAAAAGGAGAAAAAAAAAATTATACCGAGATTCAGGCTGGAAAAGCAGGGGCCGAGTGAAAACTAAGTTAAGGAGACTGCGCTTAATGAATAAAGCTAACACTTAGGGAGTCCTTACTTGCCATAAAGTGATTTACTCCTCGCAGCAATTGTATAAGTAGGTACTATTATTACCTCCATTTTACAGACTAGGATGTTGAGACAGTGAAATTTGGTTACTTGCCCAAGGTGGCTCAGCTTATCAGTGGTAGAGGTAGGATTTTGAACAAGGTAGTTCTGGCTCCAGTTTGCGTTCTTAACTACTACACACACAGTACTTGTCTCTCTAAAGGGCAACGGGAAGCCATTGAAACGTTAAAACCAGGGCAGCGACACATTCGTTTTCCAAAAACAAATTACCCTGTGGATAATATAGATTAAATGTAGTTTAAGTGTGGAAACAGGAGTCTGTTGGAACAAGGTAGCCAAATATAGGGAAGGCCTGGATGAGCGAGGGAGATGGCAGACAAAAGCAAATGGGATTTGCGGGCTCTTACAGAGTCCGGGGGACTTCGTTTTGGATGGAAATAAGAGGGTGGAGTGAGGGTGATACCCAGGTTTCTGACTTGGGCAATTCGGTGGACAGTGAAAGTCATGCACTGATGTGAGTTAGGAGTCTGGTTTTGGCACGGTGAATTTGCAGTGCCTGGAAAACTCAGCCGTCCACGAGGGACAGAAATGCGCGTAATACCAAGACAAGCCGAGTCGCACAAGGGCGGTCCTCCAGGTAAGGCGCGCCCGGGAGCGAGGCCCAGAGCGCCGCAAGGCCCGCGTCTCCGGAAGCTGCGCGCGCAGGCGCAGTGCGGCGCGGGCGCCCCCTGGCGGGCGGCGGCGCGCAGGGGCCGCCTCCACAACCCGGCGCGCCGCCGCTGCCGCCTCAGCCCAACATGGCGATGCACAACAAGGCGGCGCCGCCGCAGATCCCGGACACCCGGCGGGAGCTGGCGGAGCTCGTGAAGAGGAAACAGGAGCTGGCGGTGAGGGGCTAGCATCGGGGACGCGCGGTGGAGGATCCGCGCCTGCTCCCGCCTCCAGACCCCAGCCCCGCCGCGCCAGGCCGTTACTCCGCGGGCGCTGTGCGGCGGCCGGGAGTCCAGCGGCGGGAGGCTGGGGTGCGCATTCTGCGGCCCGCCGGCGCCTCGGCTTCCTGGCTGTGCGGGAGCCCGGGCCCCGGGGGCGGGGCGAGGAGCCGGGAAGGGGGAAGGGGAATGGAGAAGGGGAAAGGGGACTCGGCGGGTGGGGGCGTGGAGGAAGTTTGGCCCCTGGGGCTGGGGTGCTTAGGTGTGGGAGCCCGGGAAAGGCGAGTGTCCGTGAGCTTTGGGGGGTGGGTGAGAGCCGGCGGGTTCGTGATCTTTGAGGGTTGGGGGACGGGCGTGTCGGTAGGCTGTAGGAGATTGGTTCGGGCTTGCCTGTGGGCTTTGGCGGGGTGGGTTAGGAGGCGGCTGTGGGAGGGGGACACAGTCATCCAGTCTGGTCTTTGGAGGATGGAGGAACGCATTTCCTTTGGGAACTAGGAGTAGATTCATTGGATGGAATCTTTGATGGGCAGGGATGTGATGTGTTTGGGAATATCTAGAAGGTGACAGGCGAGGGGAGCGGATTCAATCTAGGGAATTAGGAATGTGACGTGCACCCAAGGTCTTATGCACCCTGGTGGCTGAGCCCTCCCTCCCCCCTGAGTCTTGGCTTGGGCACCTGGGAGGCTCATCTCACCTGAAGCCGCCCTTCCACGTTTCCATGGCAACTGGCTGACCATCGCAGGCAGCCTTTCTGAGCCTGCGGGGAGGGGGAGCGAGTTGGTGCTGGAAGGCTGCTCGCCCTTCCCTTCCCACTGGCAATACCTTTTATATGTGGGAGTGGCGCCTGCCCCAGCCGGGGTTCTTGACAGCTGGGTTTCCATGAACCCTCTGAAGTATATACAACATTTTGCATGTGTATATACATTTTTCAGGGAACAGGCTCTTTATATTTCATTCTATTCTCAAAAGGATCCAATAAGACAGGTCTAGACTGTCTTAGTCTGAAAGAGCCTGTCCCTCCCCATATGATCTGTCTCTCCACTAAGGGTAGTTTAATGTAGTTGTGCTTGAGTTTATAAGAAATATCAAGATTTCAGTTTGGTCAGACAATATTTGCATTTATAAGGCATTATCTGTTTCCTTGTTTTTCATCTCTCAGGAAACACTGGCAAACTTGGAGAGACAGATCTATGCTTTTGAAGGAAGCTACCTGGAAGACACTCAGATGTATGGCAACATTATTCGTGGCTGGGATAGATATCTGACCAACCAAAAGTGAGTGTCAGAAGCCTGTAGTGTTTGACCTGCTGATACTTGTTTTTAATGCTGTCTATTCTTGGTGGCAACTTTGCAGGAAGGCAGCACTAAGTGGTAGTGTGGAAAGAGGTTTGGGCTTGAACTTTGAACTCTGGCTGAGCCTCGCTGAGTCATCCTGGACAAGTCCTACATCTGTACACTGGGGAAAGTGTGGTCTATGGCACAGGGGTGTGTGAAGCTTACATGAAATACAGCCTATATTGCCTTTCACAACAGCATACTATTAATGGCTTCCACATTTTAATCAGTCATGAGTTCCACCCTCACAATATTTGCCATATGCGTGTGCCAACCCTACCATTATTTATTTAGTACTATTATTGAAAAACTTCTAAACTTTTTGAGACTTTTAAAGTCTGTAGAAAAATGGAAAGAATGGTACATGAACACTTGAAGCCCTTCACCGGCATTCACCGATTAACTTGTTGCCATGTTTGCTTTCTTGCTCTTTTCTGTTTTTCCTCACTATAACGTATAAACACACATACCTATATTTACATGTTAAAAACATTTTTTTCAATTTTGAAGTAATTATAGATACATAGGAAGTTACAAAAATAGTACAGAGAGGTCCCATGTACCCTTCACCCAGTTTTCCCCAGTGATTTTTATGTAACTATAGTACAACATCAAAAGCCAGGAAATTAACATTAGTGCAATGTGTATATGTAGTTCTGTCATTGTATCATGTGTGTAGAGTCCTATAACCACTACTGCAATCAAGGACAAAATTATTCCATCACCACAAAGATCTGATATGCTACCCCTTTGTGATTATATTAATATCTCCCCTTTCCCCCTATACTTTGGTGTGTTTTTTTTCTAAATCATTTAAAAGTTAGAAGCAGATATCATGACACATTGTCCCTAATTATTGTCAGTAATTATCTCCTAAGAATAAGAACATTGTTCTTACTTAACCACAATTATCATGTCTAGAAAATTAGCACTACGTTAATAGTATCATCTAATACACAGTATTTATTCGAATTCCCCTAATTGTCCCCAACATGCTTTGCTACCTTGTTTTGATTCAGTCAAGAGTTTTTCACTGCATTGATGTCTCTTTAGTTTCTTAATTTAAGAGTGTCTCCCACCCTTTTTGGTGGTGAAGTTGTTCATAATGTCTTGTAGATTGTCCCAATTCTAGGTTTTTCTTGTGACCTCATGAGCGATCCTTTAAACATTTTTGGCAGAAATGTTGCATTAGTGATTTGTGTACCTCTTGTTTGCCTCTATTTTATCAGACGGCACATAATGTCAGGTTGTCGCATTATTGGTGCTGCTAAGTTTGACCATATGATTTCTCCATTGTGAAAGTTTATTTCTTCTCTTCGTAATTAACTAGTAATTTTGGAGCTTATACTTTTAGAGAGTGGGAATATATTGCTACCCCCCCCCCCAATTTTTATTCACTGGCTTTATTATACATTGTTGATTTCTATCTGAATCAGTTATTATACTGGAGGTTGCAAAATGGTGGTTCTAATTTCTCCTGTTCCTTTTACATTTATTACTGGTATTCTGAAAGAAGAGCCTTCCCCTTTTATCTTCTCTCCCTTTCATTCTATCTCTGTCTCTTTAGTAACACTATAGACTCGTGAAGTTTTTTTTTTCTAATCATGTTGGGATCTAGTGTTGTCACTCTTTTATCATTGATGTTTATTTCATTTTTAAGTATAAATTAATTTATTGAAATTAATAGAGAAGTGCACAAATCATAAATATACAGCTCTGTGACTTTCCACAAAGCCAGCACACCCATCCTTATCCTTTTTGATGCTTAGTTTATCCCAAATATCACCAGAGGGAGCCTCCTCAACCTGATACCTTTGTCCTTTTGACATGACCCTATTAGTCTGAGTACTTTGTTCCTTTCTGTCATGTCCTTTTCTTGTCCCAGACCTGATTATCAGCCATTTTTCTAAGGGACCTTGGTTTTTTTCTTTAAATTTTTAAAATTAAGTTTGTTTAACAGAGACACTTCATATCACTAGTCTGTGCTAGTTGTTTTTAGTAATCATTACAATAAATACATATTGGGCCAGCCAAGTGGCTTGTTGGTTAGGA